TTACTCGTGTATCAGATGCTTCGGTTAACCAAGAAGTTTCGAATATACTTTTCTTTAACATAAATTTACTTTTACTTCATTAACGTACTTCAACACTTCCACAGTGATTGGCGAATGTTCCTTACTAATTAATAGTAATTACTGAACTTCAGATCCTCGCGAAGATAATGTCGTTTATGTATAAATGTGTACAAATTGGTATAGAAACAGATTCCTTCGTCCCTCATAAGAATTTCAAAGAAAATTTAAAATAGGATCGCAAGAAACTTTCTTCGACAGTCCACGAAACCTTTGAAATACGTAAATCCGTCTAACATGTACATTATACAGCATAATTAGTATAAATGAGATGTCGGAAGTTATATATTTCATTTTAAAATGCTGCGCACATTACTGTTTCTTTTAACACGTTAGAAAGACCTATGTTTATTTAATCACTGATCATAATAAGAAAATAATGTTTGCAACGATGACGTTGCAGCGCATTCTTGTGTTGCGCGTTTAGTTTTCCGATTTCGGCTGCTGATTGCGGATGAATATGTAGTTTAATAAACGGATGAATTATTAATGTTAACATATTGGAATGTTGCAAATTGGCTGTATATCACCGATATGAAGGCGTTAATCAATTTCGTAGCTGCGTCGCTACGCAGGAAGGCTAGCCGAAAGAAGGCCATGCATATTTGGTTTTACGCGGATGCATCCGCGCACTGCGACGCTCCGTGGAGCAACGTTCGTTCCGGACTGTGTACTTCCTTTAATTGACCGTGTGCTTTTCCCCTCCCCGTTGCCAGCCATCCAGCTGCTTCCACCCCGTCTTCGGCATTTTCTTCAACGAGCACTAAACCCGCGCACGCAATAAACGTCGCATTTGCTCGTTCGAAACTCGTCGAGAAGAACGAGAAATTTCTTTTGTTTCCGACAACGGGGACCCCGATGGGAGATATTGAACCCGGCGCGTCTATTATCCATCTTTTTCCTCTTATTCTAGTCACCATCGATTGGCCCGCTATCTCGGCATTTCATATCCTCGACCATTCACCATTCTGCCAATATTCTCTGTCTTAATGGCCGCCTGTATTCTCGTCAACAGAAAATTCTTCGTTTAACCCTTGTGCGATAATCACAATTGATTTCATATTAACCTTGTGAGAACTTTAAAAATTCTAAAAGTCTCCGCATAAAACTCAATTTCAGCATCGAGGTCTTAAATACTAGGAAAGAAAGAAACTGCATATCTTACCGGAATGATGAAATCATTCATCGGCAGCTTTAGATTCGGAATATCGACGATCGAAGCCATTACAGTTATTCGACCGCAAAGCGCGAGTATCGTGTCGTTTTAAACACTCCACAGATTAAACGGGAAACTGTATATCCGCTCAATGCGCAACGAGCAAAGGGAATTCTTTAAAGAGAACAATCGAATGAACCAGGATACGGGGAATAAATAAAATTGTTCATACATCCGAGGCGAACCGTGTTCCCGCATAAATCCTCTTGTAAGTAGAGCTTGGAACCAACTCCACCGGTTCTCGGGCTTATGAAACTTATTGGAAGTGTGCTCAGTGTCCGAAGAATTCTTAAGAGACTTCGTGACGAAGAAGCATCTGCGATTCGACCTGGAATCTGGGGAGGCCCCGTCCCATTTAAATAATTAACATTTTCCTGGAGCCCCGATCGCGGCCGGCGGCGCAACAAAACCAACAGTA